AAAAAAGGCGCTGCAGCAAGCGCTGTACAGGCAAACTTTTTGCCACGCCTTGGACTTGCCTACCCAAGGTGTAGTCGTTCGTGGCTGCGGAGAGAACTCTTCAGTGGACATGCTTAGCACTACTTTCAGAAGTGCACAAGGTGCGAGCAAACAAGCAAAAACCACCACCATTCATCCATCCATCCATCCATCCCTCCCTCCCTCCCCTCCCTCCCTCCCCTCCCTCCCTCCCTCCCTTCATTCATTCATTCATTCATTCATTCATTCATTCATTCATTCATTCATACAGCTCTAAAAAACTGATGGTTACAATGCATTTCAGCATTGTACTCACGTATATTTTTTGCCAGATGTGGATATCCAAGCTTCCTAGTAACCTTGCTTGCCTGCAAGTGGACATTATCCTGCGTCAACTCCCAGACAGTGTACAAAACTCTGGACACCCCGGCTGTACCCCACTGAGGTTTAAAAGGGGGCAGTAAAGAATCATCTTCCGGACGCCGTTCTCTAACCTCCGACCGCCCTCGGACTGGTTTATGGCCAGGCAGCCGTGGCTCTAGCTGTGGCCAATCAGCCGTGTCACCAGCCCCACCCCTGGCTTACTATCTTCCTCCGAATCGGGCAGTGTTCTCTGGCGCGCTCCCCCACCATCGGCTGGGGTCGGCGGATATTCCACTGGCTAACTATATATCTAAGTAGAAATGATCATACTACGAATGTGTTTCAAACCTCATATAACATTTTCTCATTATATGCTTGCCACTTCTGGTTTGAATATTTCACTTTCATTTATTCGTTTGTTGCTTCCTACTTGGATTGTAGAAATGCTTTGGTTTTGACACCCTGGCATGTCGGTTCAGGAGCGAGATCCGGACTCCCAGCAGAAGGCTTTGCTTTTTGAGATCGAGTACCCAGAGGCGAGGTTGTTGGTGCCGTCCCGTTGCAAACATTGAGTTTTCGTTGCGTTGAGGACACATCAACACAATCAATCAAACAATCAATCCTCAGCGAAGGGGTTCAGGCAGTTTCGAAGCCTGAACCGAGTCGGCGTCCTTGCCAGAAAAACTCCTGCTTACAAGCTACTCTTAAGCCTTAAGCTCTCACTGTCCTGGCCAGGTCATCCCGGGTCTCTAACAGAAAAAACATTTTTTGATTTGTGGTTGACTTTTCAACAGCTGAGGCTTTGGACCGAGTGAAGCCTCGGCATCGCTTTATGTCAGCCTATGAACAGAAGGTGTGACGATGTTGTTTGCATTTGTCTAAAATGCGGAAAGCGTTAAACACGTTCAACGTTGCAGGTCGAACCACCCGAGGTGCCACGGCGTGTTTCGTGTCGTTCCTAGTAGCGTCCTTGCTCCTAGTAGCGATGCCAGGAGCTCCTAGTAGCGATGCCCTTGTTCCTAGTAGCGTCCTAAAACACTTTGGACATGTTTTTTGCCTCTTTCTGTCGATTGTCTTTCTTTGTCAGTCCAAATTCCAGTATTTGCTCACCGCTTGCGAACCCTATGAGACCATTGCATTCAAGGCGAGGCCTTCGGGCGTGTAGAGGCAATATGACAACATGTGCGAACTGGTCTGAAAACAACGTGTGTTCTTTCTCTCTCTCTCTTTGTCTGATTTCTCTAAGGTCCCCAATATGGAAGTCGACAAGAATGAAAACAAGTTCTTCACGAGTTGGGATCCGCAGAGGAAAGTCTTCACAATGCAGGCTGGGATCGCCATCGCTAGAAGCATAGAAAGAAAAGGAAAAAATGGTCATTGCTATAGTTTGCTATTAGGTTGGAGGCCGAGGTGTGGCCGAGGTGATAGGACGGAAGTTCCATCACCTGCGTGAGTAAACCACAACTCGGGTGATACCGAGACAGATGATCTCGCCAGAACAGGTGTGCAACCTGGGCTGGAAAGGGTTCAAGAACAGGTTACACAAATTTGCTTGTTCAAGCATGACAGCCTGCTTGGTGTGATGTACAGCTGCACAACTATTGTAAATTACATTAATGTTTGTGTATTAATGTTTTTGTATACAGCATAACATAATATGTGCGACAAGCTTACCTTGCTTAGGAGTTTCTTAGTCTTGTGTTCAGATGTCAGTTGCTGATGAGACTGGAGCTGTGCTTTGGTTGGCACTTGACCTTGCCCAATCATCCTTCCAAACCTCTTGTTGAGCTTGGTATCGGTATCGTTCTTGTAGCTTTGACATCTTCAGATTTGTGTTTTTTGTTACACATATTGTTATTTGTTTTCTCCGATCGATTCCGCTGTTTCAGCTCATCGGCCTTCGTTTCCCCTTTATTCACTGTGCCAAGTGTTGCAAAAGTTGAAAGCCCGCCAAAAGTGCTGCAAGTTGCTAGTGCAACGTTGAGCATGAGGTGCCCAAACCCTATGAAAACCAGCAGAAGCTAACAGCAGACTGTTCCAAGTGCTGAAGATACCGGAAGTTGAACACCGGGGCAAATTGTTGCAAGCACCAGCCAGAATCAGTTTGAGACAGAAACTCTTCTCGAAGCAACCAAGTGCCTTGGATGACAATGCTCAGAAATTACTCCATTAATAATCAATAGTGTTCAGATGTTTTCAACTTGTTCCGCACAATTTGAAGCAAAGTAGAGATAAGAACTGTGGTCGGCTCAGATCTTCTTTAAAGACCGCGAAGAGAAAGAATTGCCTGCAGAAGCCTTAGATTCGTCACCTTTCGAGGACAACAGAGAACACAGAACACTGTTCGTTTTCCCAAGGCATTGCCTCAGAGACCGGGCACCACGAACTTAGCCTTCCACGGCACGAGACCAAAATGAGACGAAAAGGAGACATTAGTAGCGTCCGATCACTCCTAGTAGGGCCAAGTAGGGTCCTTGCTCCTAGTAGCGATGCCCTTTGCCCCTATAGTAGCGTCCTCATGACCGATGCTTTGTCGACATTCCTTCGACTCATCATGATTTACAGCTTTTGCTTGATGAATCCGATCGGAGAACATGTGCGACGCTGTGATTCACACTTCCAGAGTGTCTCTTTGGCTTAAACATTCTTAGTAACACGTATTTTTATTTTGATTTTTGTTAATTTCATGATGCCATGTCTCCTTCGCTTTTTTGTGCTCCCTTGAGCTGGTGGCAGTACCGACAAAGATGCAGGCGCCGGTGGGTTTACACGCTGAGCGGAATCTGTTCGAACTGACTAATCTGCGAGGAGGAGGTCGGTCAAAAAGAGCAAGTACTTCATTTTAGAATTGACTTCTCAAAGGTTGATTTTTTGCGCACTACACTTGTTTCTGACCCCACAAGATGTTTGGGCGTCTCTCCTGAAATGTCCAAAGCTTTGTCATGGGAACCCTCAGCAAGCGCAACCCTCCCTATTCCTTTGTTTCCAACCCCTTGGAATGGATCACAACTCAAACATTTTATTCACGGGCTTCTGGTAGATTGAGAATAGCTGAAGATAGCGAAGTGCAGATTGGAACTGCGAAAATTGTGCGGACTTTGCAATTTGCATCTTTGATTCATATTGTTGCTGTATTGAACATCATAGCATTCTTGCTCCTAGTAGTAAGGCCATGAGCCCCTAGTAGTGTCCTTGCCCCTATAGTAGCGATTCCCTTTGTTACTAGTAGCATTCTTGCTCCTGTTGCACCATATGCGCAATCTTTGATAGCCATCGGGCTCAAGAAGCCTTTGGCTGAGGGACCACGGGCGCCCAGGGGTGAGCGGCCACCTGCTGAAATACCGTTCACCGTCCAACAAGGACGCTTCCACTAGTGTCCACCCCCTTTCCTTTGCTTCGTGTACACGTGCTTCCATCGGGGATCGTGTTGCGCCATGGTTCATACAGATCTTGAAGAACCCTATGCTTTGCTGGAGCAGTGGTTTTGATGGGCTCACTATTTCCCTGCTGGCTTCTACCCCAGGTGGTGGACTCAGTCAGGGTTCAGATTCCTCAAGGTGCACTTCACTCCACATCGAAGGAGTTGGACGACGCTCTTTCCATTTGATCCCAGGCTCTCAGATCGCTTGCATTGGGGACCCTATTGCCCCCAACAGGGATGACCATTGGTTTCTCGCCCCGGGCACCGTGGCTTGCCCACGCCCCGAATTGGATGCTGACTTAGCATGCAACTTCGTTCATGCTTTCTGTGGATCATTTTCGGGCTGTTCCCAAGCTGCCTCCTTTCTCTCTCGAGCTGAGTGTGGACATCGTGTGGGCCAACAAATCAGCATCGACCAGGACGATACTGTGATGTCTTTGTGGGCTACTAAGCATGGTTCGAAGGTTTACAAAGCGCCTATTGCGTGCCAGACTGTGTGGAACCCCAGTGTGGTTCTGAGAGGGCATGCGATGGTGCACACCAGTATATCAGATATATAAGCATGTTTACTTAGCAAGGTGATTGTCACTTTTGTCACCATGCCCCTGGATGCCATGGAACTGATGGCGCTCTTGAACAGAAAAGAGCCTAGCCGGAAAAGGCCAAGGAAGACCCAGGCAGTGGTGATCGATGACAGCGAGCCTGAAGAAGACGATGCTCCACGCTTGCCGCAGCCTCAGCAGCTGCTTCATCAAATTCTTGTTCGATCGATCCCAGTATGTTCAACTTCTTCCGGTCCAAAATGAGGCCGATGTTCCCAGCTCCAGAAACAACAGAAGAGCTATCGTTGGAGCCCGAGCTTCCGTTTCTCTCCCTTAAAGCAAGTTCAAGCGCTGTTGGAAACAAAACTCACTGAAGCCAGGCTGTGGGCCTTCACCCTGCTCGAGCGTTGCGCGCTGGTTTTTGGAACAAAGTTCATGATCAACAAGATTAGCATGGGGCCCCTGCCACACACAAAGGCTGCAAGTTGGCTATATGGTTTTGCCTGAGGTTGAGAAAGCACGTGCGTGCATCAAATTCACCAAGACGTGCTACCCGACAAGCTGTGTTTTCTCGGACATCTTGAAGCTTGTGAAGAGCCCCCCAAAGAAAAAGATGTGGAACCCATTGGAATTGCAGTTGGCCAAGACTGGCTTCTGTGAACAGCGCAAGCAGGAGTGCCTCATCCAAGAAACAATTTTATTAGAGGTGTATGTAACATGAACACAGAAAGCAACCCCAAATTCCTCCGAACCATTGTCTCGCTGTTGAGGTGCGAGCTCAACATTGGCAACAGCAGCTGTGGCCTTATCGGCGCTCCGTGCATCCTTTTTTCAGCGTGCCCTGTAAGACCGAAACACTTTGTAGGATGTTCAGGGCTCATGTATAAGATCTCTAAACGAGTCCTTCAACCTCTATCGCTGTCTTCCAGTTGCGGGTTGCGACAAGGCTTCAAGAACCTTCAGCTGAAAAGGGCCCACGACGTTGCCACAAAATTCATGGATGCAACGCCCCTGAACATTCACGAGAACGTTCCTGGGTACGAGGAGGAGGGGGTCCATAGAGTTATCAGATATTCGGCTTTGCACCATCTCCGTTTGTTAACAACGATACTTTATTCATTGTTCAAGGAGTACCTGAAGAAGCACCTCCCCAAACACAGCATTCAAACAGTGCAGCCTGGGGCTAAGCTTCCGCTAGCTTGAGATTCAAGGAATAAGTTGTTTGCCTTTGTCATTGCTTAGGCTGTGCCCTCGATTGTTCGGGCACCCCAGTCATCGTGTGCGAAGTTGGAGAACTGTCTTCAACAAACGTAGAAAGAAGTGGACAAGTGCGTATACCCTTCAAGAGCTTGCCAACTTGGTTCTTGCGCCCTGGGATTGCAAGTTGAAATTGGATGCTGGGGCCTACTTGGTTGCGTCAGCTGGTGACCTACTTGACGTTCCAATCTATGAAGAAGAACTCTCAGAGTAGTCTGGCTTAACCGATTGATTGAAAACTGTTCCAATCCACTGCCATTTATGTCTACGAGTATGTTCCACGATATGTTACGATATGTTGAAACCTCCCTCCAGCAGTGCACCGTCAAGTCGCAAAAGCGACACCTCTCCAAGTTCCGAGCAGCAGCGCCGGACCGCAAGATCTTTGACCTGTCCGCCAATGTAGAGGTTCGCAGGCGAACTGATTTGAGAGATGGGTCCCTGCCGTGCCTGACTACCTCAAGTCAGCTTTGGTTCGCTACACGAAGCAATGCGCAGTCGGTAAACTTAATTTCTGAATAGATCTCTCTCATTTTCGATCCAAGGTCAGAGGACAAGCAACGGCTCATGCTTGGGTGGGAACAACTTCATGTGCTTGGGTATCCGGTTTGGGGCGCAGGTCCACAAGCAGCGGGTGTGGACTCTTTCCAAAAGTATATACAAGCGCACGCATCTGTGTAGAACAACTATAGAGTTTCATTTCTCAAGCAGGCTGCGGTTTGTGTGGTAAAGGCTCCAGCCCAGGACACGGTTGACACGAGCTATCTCACCGAAGCAAGCCTCCGAAGCATGAGTGGAAATGGCATGTCTTTGGCCTGCGCAGGATTTGCGCTTCTGATGGCCGTTCTTTGTGTTGAGGACCGTTGAGAACGTGTCCAAATCTAATTCAGGACTTCTCAAAATTCAACATGGTGGAGGGCTGTCTGTCCTACTGCCAAGGCAAACTCGTGGTTTTGGGGACGAAAATGATGCACACAGCCTTCAATCGTTTGCGCTGATACATATATATCATATAGACTATCATATAGCATAAAATCATCAGTGTCTTTTTGATTGCTAGCCTTTGCAACACAGTGCAGCTTACAAACTCAAGCGTTCCACATGCTCCCGTTTGGTGATGAACCTGAAGAAACCAACCTTCAGAAACCTCTGAGTTTCTTGTCTTTTGGCAGCGCTGATCGGAACCAGAAACGGAAGCCTCCACGTTCAAGCATCTTTGGCAATGAGCCTGCAGAGCAAGAGCCACAGGCAGTGAAATCACGTAGCACCGAGAAACGGGTTGTTCCCAAACGTCCTTTTGAGGATGAGGTGGATGAAATTGATGATCCTCCTCCTTCCAAAGCTGCACGTGGGAAACGTGCGCATATGGTTTCAGCATTTGGTGATGAAGGGTCGGAGGATGAATTTGAACACAACCCGCGACCAAAAACAGCAGTCAAACCTTTCCAAGATGAAGGATGTGAGACTGACGGCTCTTCATCTGCGACAGAGGGCGGGTTTGTTGTCAAACAACCTTCGGTGTTTTCCTTTGGCTGGAGCTCTGTTTCAACATTCCAGAAAGCAACGTTTTGGAGAGAAAATATGGATGATCCAAAAGCTTCGAAACAGAAGCGTGCATATGACAACACCAAAAGGTCTGCTGGGGCCACCTACTCGAGACAGGCGTCAAAAGGTGCATACAAGAGGAATGGTCTCGACCCAGCAAGACTCCAAAAGCTGTTTGATTCTTCAAAATGCCTTTGCGTCTTTGTTTGGATAAGGTGGAAACTGTACTTCCCTGTTTTCCGCGTCGTGTTTCGACCCCGGCTTTGAGTTCCCACATATTCCCACAAGGTGTCAAGAGACAGTGCTTCAAGCAGTTCATTGGCTCCAGAGAATTGCCTGCCTTCCTTGATCAATTCTGGGGTCTAGGCAAGCGCGATCAGGATTCACTTGTGTCTTGCAAAGCACTAAAGGCCACGGTCGCTGTCACGGTCCGGTGTTTCCATTTTGATCATGTGTTGTGATAACAACAACAACTGCCCATATTTTTATAGCATTTTCGTTTGTGAAAATCTCATCTGGTAGTTGCTCGTGCACTAAGATGGAGATCTCTACAACATCTGGTGTTGGTGGCGCTACCTGCACCCTGCTCGACCAGCCGATAGGATTCATTTGCTTGGCCACCCTACTCGGTGTCG